GCAGGAGCGTCTGCCCAGTCTGGAGTAACTGCAGGGCCAGACAACCAGTGTGGTTTTCCAAGTTCAGTAGTCGCTGGCTTAGGTGGAAAACAAAATCACTGATGTTCTTGGAGAGTGAGCTCATTTTCACCTCCAAACTAGAGAATCCCAAGGCCTGGGCGTGAGCAGGAGGGAACAGGAAGCCCTCCTGGAACAAACCTGGAATCTCTGTGGGCCAAGAGCTGTCTAGAGAGCGCTGGAGGAGCGCAGTGAGTGCCCAGTTCCTTCCCACTGCTGTCCAGGAAAGAGGAAGTGGCCACAGCGTGCAGCTCCTTCAGGCACCAGCCTGTAGAGGGCGCTTCTCTGTGTGCCAGGACATGGTCTGACTCAGAACAATCTCCTGTCCCAGTGCCCTCCCTCCTAGCAGGGACCAAGCAAAACCCCCGGTTCTGGACAGTGGGGGCCAGCCCTCCCCTGGCCTCTCAGCATCTCTTTTAGATACAGGTTTTGTTTTATTTTGTTTTCCCAGAAACCTTCTATTTAAGGTATACAAACTTCATGCATTTCATAAAACAAATTTAGGAACATGGTGCTTCTTCCCACCCTTCCCGCCTTCTCTCCTGCCCAAACTCCCACCCTTCTTCCTCCGCCCTCTCCTTTCCCCATTCTTATTTTTTTTTTTAGTAAGATCTATTTTCAATTAACTTTATTTTTTTAAAAGATTTATTTATTTGAAAGGCAGAGTTAGAGAGGCAGAGAGAGAGGTCTTATATCCGCTGGTTCACTCCCCAAATGGCCTCAATGGCTGCAGCTGAGCAAATCCAAAGCCAGGAGCCAGGAACTTCTTCCAGATCTCCCATATGGGTGCAGGGGCCCAAAGACTTGGGCCTTTGTCCTCTGCTTTCCCAGACCATAACAGAGAGTTAGATTGGAAGTGGAGCAACCAGGATTCGAACCAGTGCCCATATGAGATGCCAGCACTTCAGGCAGCAGCTTTACCCACTACTCCAGCCCCTCAGTTAACTTTATTCACATAAGGTTAACCCTATACTAAGTACAGAGTTCAACAAATAGTATGAAAAAAAAAAAAACTTCCTCAACATTCGAGATACAGGCTGTTTAAAGTCATCACATCTCAAAGCATCAATTTCACTTCTGTAGATTACATTTTAGGTGCTCTATTAGTTACCAGAGATCAAGGAGAACATACAGTATTTGTCCTTTGGGGACTGGCTTATTTCACTAAGTATGTTTGCCAGTTGCATCCATTTTGTAAATACCTCCTTAGTATGGTTTATTTAAATAGCACAATTCCCACAGCATTTTGTGAAAATTGGAACCCTAGGATGACTGTTGATTTGTGAGAATGATTTGTGTAGTTAAGGAATTTCATTTAGTTATTGGCAGACTTGAAAACCTTCCAATAACAAGTTGGAGCTTTAGAAAGCAAATAAGGTCTTGAAGGACTTTCTCCATTCTCAGCTAAAGATCAAGAAAGAATTTTCTGACTCTTTTGCAGTAGCATCTCCCCAAAATTCAGTGCCTCACACATAGTAGTGGATGCAAGATAAAGGTTTTGAATGATGCAAAGGGGTTTATTAATGCACTGTGGAAGAATCTCAAAGGATATGAGCAGCAGCAAAAGTATTTATTTGTTCTTGAAATGTTTTTGCAGGAGACCTGATCTCTGGTCTTCATTTCTGGGGGTGGTGGGTAATGTGGCCCAAGGACCAGCAAGGACAGTGGGCACAGACACAGCTGCGTGGGAGTAGTAGCAGGTGCACCTGGCTTCAGATTCTTCCTGGAGCGTCCGAGAGCAGTGTCTCACTGGCATCAAGCCAGAGAGCCCTGCAGGAGGATAGGGCCCTTTGGCTGGCTCAGCTAGGTGAAGTTAGAGTAAGAACCTCCAAAACTCAGGGGCTGAACAGAGAAAGTGCCATGTGGGTTTCATAGCTTTCTAAGCTGTAGCAGCACAGGCTGGGGTTGGGGGGGGGGGTGGAGGGTTGCATGGGATTTTCTCAGGGCCAGGCCTCCAAAGTGGTCTCTGCTATTTCGATCTACATCCTGTTGCTGTAGCCTTGCTCCTGTGGCCCCAACTCCCAAGGAGGCAGGGAAGTGGAGTTTAGCTTTGAGCCAGAGAAGAGGAGACTTGGTGGAGAACACATCCCAGTGTGTGGGCCAGAGTGTCCGATGGGGAAAGGGCGATGGCAGAGGAGCAGGACATGGGGAGCAGCTGCAAGCAGCAAGGTCAGGTCCATACTCGAGTTCCCCTGGGGCCTCTGGCTTGGGCTGGACCGTAGATGGTAAGGCACACTGCACTCTTTGCGGTACCCTTGGCTGAACGCAATGGGCAAGCTGATGTGTAAATTGATCAGCTGGGACATCCGGGCAGCTGCGTCTCTGAATTACAGACAGCATACTTTTTTGCATAGGTGAAGTCCACGATGAACTGGCACCTGACCACACTGCATGGACAGGGGGAGCTGCTGTGTGCACTGAGGCTGCAGGATGCTGGTGGGGCACTGGCTTGATGCCGGAGGGCTCCTCCCAGTCTTCTCCTGCGTGCACCCTCCTACAAACTGGACCCACACAGGAGGGGCAAAGGCTGTTGGGAGTCTTACCCTCCTCCATTGCTGGGTTCCGATGTCTGCTGAGTGAGTGACACCCCCTCCTCGCAACTCATCTGTCTCTGTTTTCAGAGGGCATCAGAATCTCTTGGACCAAGACTGCCACAGAACACAGTGTACCTGGGCCCTTGCCTTTCCCTGTGGGTGGTTTCCAAGCACAATGCTTCCCCCGCCCCACCCCACGCTCCCTGCAGCCAGTGTCTGGTGCTGACCAAGAGGACCAGCGGGGGAGACCTGCAAGACCAAGGACCTGGGTCTTCAGGCTTTCCAGTTGAGCTACAAATCCCAGCCCAAGACTATGACACCTAAGGGAGGAACAGTCACCAAGTCTGTAACTTACATCATGATTCTGTTCAGTTTACATCTGTGTTTTGTAAGCAAGAGTGCTTCTTCAAGGGGTCTTTGAGCCAGGAACTAGCTCCAGGCCTATGCAATCTTTGATCTGTCCCTCTGTCCCTTGTCGTTTGGCAGAGATGGTTCATCCAGCACCAGCCCTGAGCTGTGAGCCAGTGCAACGCAGAAGGGGGTTGAGGTTGGGGGCATCAGTGGATCAAACACTGAGCACTGAAATAGCACAGGCCCCAGGATATCTAAATAAAAGTGACCAGGGGTGGCCAGAAGGTTGAAAAACAGAGCAGGTAGCTTGGGACTTGTCTTGAAGCAGCCTGTCTATGGCGGCCTGTTAGAGCAATGGGTTTCTTGTTTCTGTTTTTTTTAAGATTTATATATTTGAAAGGCAGAGTGTGCAATTGAGGCACAGTGTCTGTCGACCTAGAGCCAGGAGGAGGCCCCTAGTGCCGGCTGCCACCCATAGAGGGACGTCAGGTTGCCCCCTGCAGGTCCAAGTGACTGGACCTGGGAGGACAGGGAGGGAGCCGAGTGTGGGGCACTGTCAGGAGTACCCTCAGGGTCTTTCTCCCTTCCATGGGACAAGCCGCGTGGAGGGACCCTCTGGGTGTCTGCACTAGCCACGCTGCCATCTCCCACCCGGGCAATATTGTTGTTCTGCCTCCTGGGTCCTCAGGTTCCCAGTGGCTGCTCTGAGTTTTCCATCTTAACTGAACAGAGCATAACCAGAGATGTGTTTTCCCAGGAAGAAAGTCTGGTGTTAGAAGGAGAGAAAGAGGCCAAGTGAGACTGCCGTGGGGGAAAGGGCAGACCTGGCCTTGGGGACAGAGGACCCGGACCCTTGAGGTTCCCTGCCCACTTTTTTTTTTAAGATTTATTTTATTTATTTGAAAGACAGAGTTACAGTGAAAGGTAGAGACAGAGATAGAGGTCTTCCATCCGCTGGTTCACTCCCCAGATGGCCACAACCGCCGGAGCTGCACCAGTCTGAAGCCAGGAGCCAGGAGCTTCTTCCAGGTCTCCCACATGGATGCAGGGGCCCAAGGACTTGGGCCATCTTCTACTGCTATCCCAGGCCATAGCAGAGAGCTGGATTGGAAGAGGAGCAGCCGGGACTAGAACCGGCGACCATATGGGATGCCGGCGTTTCAGGCCAGGCCTGTAACCCGCTGCACCACAGTGCCAGCCCCATCCTGCCCACTTTTACTTCCAGATGCTTCCTCACACAGAACTGAGCGGTAGCCTCTCATCTAGATAAACACCCTCTTCAGGGCTACACCGACTCGCGGTCTTACAGAAATTCTCCAGGAGTATTTCCTGAATTGAGGCGAAGGAAGCTCAGGGTGCATTCTGACAGCTGCCTGGGAGTGCACCAGGACCAGTGGAGCAAGCTGTTTCCCAGGTATACACACAGCGGTCTCTTCCTTGTAACTTGCTGCAAAAGGGAAGAGACTCGGCTTGAAGGAGCACTTTCGTCCCCTTTGAGGAAGTGCTGGGCTGGTAGGCACCCGGCAGCCAGCCCCAGGGGGCTGGTGGCATGCTTTCTGTCCTCTGCTTTGTCCCAAGTACTCGCTTGCAGGCAGCTGATTGAGGAGAGCAGAAGGGGGCAGTTCCATGACATCTGTGGCCTTTGGTGGGCACCAGATCAATTTCCTGGGTAATTCAGGAAAAAATGAATTGACTTAGATCACGTTTTGTGAGAGCTAGACCAAAGACCAAGATGACTTGGAAATCCAGAATTAATATAATTTCCACCACTGGGACCAGGGCATCAGACATCGGCATGGGACATGACCGTCTCCAAGGAGCCATTCTGCATCAGGTTTATGAGTGAGAATCATTTCCACCGTTCCTCGAGGGTCCTAGCAATTATGTCTATTGAAAGCGTGATTGCTAAGGTAGCTGAGGTGTAGGCACAGGAGAGCAGGTCCCTTTAATTTTGTTCCCTTGAGGTTTGCAAATTTTTACCAACAGGCGTGGTGAATAAAACTGTGCTTTCAACAAATGTTTTTAAAAGGTGCCTTGGTCTGTTTTGTAGTTGCTCATTTAATGCAGCAGTATTTTTAAAATTTATTTATTTGAAAGTCAGAGTTACACAGAGAAAGAGAGGCAGAGAGAGAGAGAGGTCTTCCATCTGCTGGTTCACTCCCCAGTTGGCTGCAACAGTTGGAGCTGCACCAATCCAAAGCCAGGAGCCAGGAGCTTCCTCTGGGTCTCCCGTGCAGGTGCAGGGGCCCAAGCACTTGGGCCATCTTCTACTGCTTTCCCAGGCCATGGCAGAGAGCTGGATCGGAAGTGGAGCAGCCGGGTCTTGAACCAGTACCCATATGGGATGCTGGCACTGCAGGCAGTAGCTTTACCCGCTATGCCACGGCACTGGCCCTGAGTGGCAGCATCATTTAAGGGAAGCAAATGCAGCCTGAATTTCTGGCATCTGTAGCAACAAACACGTGGCTTCCCTGACATAGTGCTTGCTTTTGTGAAGACATATTCCACGTGCCTTTGGAGCCTTCCCTGGTGGAACAGGCGTCGTGCACTTTCACATGCACATGGGTGACAAATTTCACCATTCTTGTCAACTGCTCTTGACAGCCCAGGTCAAGCGACTCCCCCCACGCCCCACCCCAGGTGAAGCGGTCTTCCAGAACTTTCCTCCTGCTTCCTCAACTTTCCAGCCTGCGTCCTCGGTACCTTGTCCATATTGTCCCCTAGGGGGTTGCTGCTTATATTTATAAAGATGAAATGCATGGGCAAAAGTAACCCCGTGTAGAAGCGACCCCAGCTGAGTTTATTCCGGGACTCGGGACTCGGCAGAAATGTTTGTCTTTCAGTACATGATATCAGCAGCTACGTTTGCAGTCTCTGTATCTTTGGATTTTGCAAAAGGGAACTGAAACCCAGCGAGTCGTATCAGGAGCCCATTCAGAAAATGAACAAAAAAGCAAATGAAGACGACCCAGAATGAGGTGGTATATTTTTCACTTTGCGTTTTGTAGGCATAAGTCCCTTCTTTGTAATTTGCGATTTTTTCTGAGAGGTGGTGGATTTTCACTTCAGAGGCAAATAATATCATGACGAGACAGCCACAGGAGCCTGCCAGCAGAGGAACAGACAACATGTTAGGACAAATACTTCCCCGGGGTCGCAGGGGACAGGGCAGAGGGCCAATGTGCAAACCAAAGAAGGCCTTTCACCATCAGCTTTGTTACATTGCTCAGTCTATTGTTGCAAATCTGCAATCATGAGCGGACTCGCGAGTCTATGGGTGGGGGTGCCTGAGTGAGGACGATTTGTGTATGTATGTGTGTGTGAGCGTGTGTTGGGGGGGAGGCTATAGGGAGGAGGATGGGGGCGTGGTTAGATTCGAGCTGGGGGCAGGGAGCTGTAATAAGGATGTGAGTGGTTAGAATGGAGCTGATCTTACAGAAAGAGAGCGTCCTTTTTGCTTGGCCTGAGCCTGAATGGCAGGCAGGGTCGGCTACAGAGCAGCCCCTGCTCGGAGTGGCTTCAGGAGTACACACTCCCTGCTACAGGCTGTGCAGGATAAATGCTGGCCCTTGAGAAAGGCCCCGGGCCTCTGCTCACAAGGCTTCCCACGTGAGCAGCAGCAGCCGTGGACAAGGTGCCGAGGCACAGCAGAACTGTTTCCTCTCTTTTACAAAAAAAGTTTTATTTTATTTATTTGAAAGACAGAGTTCCAGAGAGAGAGAGAGAGAGAGAGAGAGAAAGAAAGAAAGAAAGAAAGAAAGAAAGAAAGAAAGAAAGAAAGAAAGAAAGAAAGAAAGAAAGAAAGAAAGGTCTTCCATTTGCTGGTTCATTCCCCAAATGGCTGCAATGGCCTAGGGCTGGGCCGGGCCACAGACAGAGGCCTGGAAATTGATTCATCCTGGTCTCCCATTTGGGTGGCTGGGGGCCCAAGTACTCGGGCCATCCTGCACTGCTTTCTGAGCTCATTAGCATGGAGCTGGAGCCAAAGTGGACCAGGACTCACCAGTGCTCATATGGAATGCTGGTGTTGCAGGCGATAGCTTAACCCATGCACCTCAACACCAGTCCCTATCCTATTTACAACAGAATTCAGATTTTTAATTGGATATGTGGCTGCTTTGAATAAAAATGTTGTTTGGCTGAGGGTGATTGGTTTGTAAGGGCAGGAAAGGTTCCTGGAAGTGTACAGGTATTAGGACCCTACTCTTTCATCCTGCAACTGAAATGTGGATGCAATGGCTGGAGCCTCTACAAACATTTAGGGCCAGGTGGCCTCATCGGTAGAAGCCATGTATTATGGAAAAACAAGAAAGAGGGGCTTTGGATCCCACACACTTGGAACCACCACAACAACCCCAGACTTAACCTCTAGATCTTTGTGTATGTCAGACAAAGAAACATTTATTTTGTTTAATCTCTTGTTATTATTTCCTCCCTCGCTTATGACTTGCTTGTAGCTTCATCTAATCTTAATAGATGCAGCTGTGGTCCAGGTGAGAGCTTTGCAGGACAAGGGCGCTCCATACTAGGTGGGACCTGGAAACTGATGTGTCATCTTTGATGAGTAGATGGCAGAGGGGGCAGAGCAGGTGGCAAGAGGGACTCCATCAGGAGCGCAGCTGGAAGGAGTTGCAGGAAACCTTAAGTCAGCAAAGGGAATAGGATATGGGGCGAAAGCATTCCAGGCATGGGGCCTTTTGTGCAAATGATGGCCTGGGGCCTGGCACTGTGGTGCAGGGGGTTAAGCCACAGCATGTGACTCTGCATCCCATATGGGCACCAGTTTGGGTCGCAGCTGCTCCGCTTCCCACCCAGCTCCCTGCTGGTGTGCCTGGGAAGGCAGTGGAGGATGGCTCAAGTGCTTGGACACCTGCCACCTATGTGGGAGACCCAGATGGAGTTCTAGGCTCCTGGCTTCAGCCTGGTCCAGCCCTGGCTATTGTGGCCATTTGAGATGTCTCCTCTCTCTCGCTCTCACTCTCACTCTCACTCTCACTCTCACTCTCACTCTGCCTTTCAAATAAATAAATAAATCTTTGGGAAAAACCCAAAGGATGGCCCCTATCCCATTTACAAATATCTGCTTTATGTTTAGGGTGGAGACAGGGACAGGATCACGAGGGATGGGGTTGAACAGAAAAGGTGACATTGCGTTTCTTCCACCCGAGAGTCCCACATAGGACTGGCCCTATCAGTTTGGCTATTATCATAAAACACCCTCAAATAGCCCATCAAGTGATATAATTTTCCCGAAACTTCACTTCCCACCAGCCTCAGAGAAGGAGCTGAGAATATTCCTTTATAGAATTTGCCAGCCTAACTATTTTTGTAATTCTGCGGTTAAATCCAGAGCTCTCCCCTGGCAAACCCACATTATTCCTTTATTGTTAGATCCTAACCACACAAAAAAGTGGCAGCGCTGTTTGCTCTTTTTCTTTTATTTGAAAATTGCGGCGAGAATGCCATTGCTTTTACCGTAAGAGCTGTCTTTGTCTGAGCAGACGGTGGATTTCAGACAGAAGTGAAACACCCTTTCCTTAGTGCCTGAAAGGAAAATTCTAGCTCGGTTTCCTTTTCAAGTTGTTAAATATTTTACAGGTGCTACTTTGTTAAGGAGAGCGCTGTGCAGGGAGCCTGCGCTTCCAGCTCCCGGAGCAGGAGACTTGGGTGTCCTAGGGCTCACGGCATTTTGCTGTCTTGAGTATCTCAAGTGCATGGGCTCCCAGCACAGAGCTGGGGGCCGAGGAGTAGAGAGGCAGTGCTGAGATGCCGTCCCGGCCCCTGGGGTTGCGAGTGATGGTGAGAATAGCACGTGGTATATTTCCAGCGTGAGCCGCAGATGCCAGCAGTGGGGGCTCGTGCTGTGGGTCCCACAGACAGAGGGCCCTTCTCTGGGGGCTGGCATTGTGCCGCAACAGAATCCGCCACCACTTACCATGTGGACATCCCATGTCAAAGCACCTGTTTGATTCCCAGTTACTTTGTTTCCAATTTTGCTCCCTGCAAAGGAGTCTGAGAAAGCAGCAGGTGATGGTACAAGTGCCTGGACCCCTGCTACCCAAGTGGGAGACCTGGATGGAGCTCCTGGCTTCAGCCCTGGCCATTGCAGGTATTTGGGGAGTGAACCAGTGGATGGATGAAAGTTCTCTCTCTCTCCCTCTCCCCAGACCCTACCCCAATCACTGGACATTTCCGGTAAATAAATCTTTTTTAAAAAGTAAAACAGAGGCTCCTGCCCTGTCCCTCTCTGGAGAGGTACTTGCCGCAGAGTGAGGAATCCTTGCAGTCAGTTGAATGTGCCCATCCGGAGCTTCTGCCCTGCAGCCAAGATCAACTCCGGGGACCCTGAAATTCCCTCCCCAGCTGGCCCAGGGGCCATTTCCAGGGCGGTGGTGAGCACCTTCCCTGGGTGAGCCCTCCCAGGGCAGTCTCTGTGGCTGGTGTTGCATGTCCTTGAGAACTGAGGGTGGCTGAGGCGCCGCCATTTGGATGTGCAGCGGAAAACCCATACACGTGCGCTTGAGACCCTTACTGTGTGCAGTGGAGCCAGGCAGGGCACAGGAAGTAGGCAGAGCCAGGCCAGCTCCACTCCCGTCGCCCTATTGCAGAGCACAGTCCCCAAGGGCAAGCACTGTCAATTTGAATGTAGCCTTTCAGGACCTTATGTTGGGATAGTTGGTCTTTATTTGACAGTTTTGTTGGCATAAAACTTTAAATAGTAGGATCAGATCTGCACGCCTCTTTCCTCTTTCCTCCGGTTATCCAAGTACTCCAAGAGCCACATGGCTGGAGCCGCTGGAACCCATCCCCCACACACCTGTGTATCCGAACAACGCTGCTCCTGGTCTCCAGAAAGGCTGGAATAAGCTAGGACTCTGGAGAGCGTGGCAAGCCCTGCTGAAGCCAGACTTTGGAATCCAAAGCCCACGTTTTGCTGTCCAGTGTTGGGCTCTGTGACCTGCAGGCATTCCCCTTTCATCTGATTTCCCCACCATCTGGCTGATGCTGTCATGGTTTTTATTTTTTTTTCCTCCTAATGACTTTGATTACTGAGTTAATTTCTGAGTGAATAGGATAGCTGAGTTATAGAGCTGTCACACCATGAATGATCAGTCAATTAACCAGGTTTGTAATATGCTAGGCACCGGCACCCATGACTCTCCTCTGGCAGCTGTCTGGGCTGCAGAGCGGGGCGTCTGTCTCCTCCTCCGGTGCTCACCACGGGGCAGCCGAGGTCACAGCCGGCGGGCGGGCGAGTTGCTTCTTCATCCCTGTGTGACCCTGCCAGGATCCTCGAAGGAGATCTGTGGAGGGTTGAGGTCCGCAAAGGGGAAAAAAAAAATCTTGGAAATGTTTTCCTACTGTCACTAAGTTCAAATTTTTGGAAGTAATTAGAATTTTAGTTCCATTTAAAGTAATGACCAGCATTTCCAGAAAGCTAACACATCATCTTTCAATTCTCATATGGGTGGCAAATATTAGAGGTCTTCCATTTTGAATACAGAGTGAGAAATGGATCATTTCCTTCTGTAAGTAGTCTTGAGAGATGATAAATGGGGGTGGGAGAGCCATAACTTTGCAGGTGTAGGTGCTAATTTTCTGTGAAATTAGGCAGTCTCGCTAGCAGGTCGGTCATTGAAAGCAAGGTCACCAGCAGTGACTCCTTCCTTCATGACAAGGGGTTCTGACTCCCCCGTGCCTCAGAGACCTATAGCTATCATCTAGAAAGGGGGCAGAGGGACAAGGAAAGCCAGTTAGTATCTAAGGATTGGCCTTGCAATCACTATGGCAAGCAACTGGTTCTGGGATTTCCAGCAGAACAGAGGTAGATGAGTGACTCCAGTTAGATGGAACTCTTTCCCTCCGTCTCCTGGAATGGGGAGCTGAAGAGCCCGCATCGAACCTAAGTGTCACAAATGTCATGTTATTGGGAAGGGTAATTAGTGTAAAACAGAAAAGGTCCAAAACCACAATGCTGACTTAATTAGAATTGATTTTCAGAAAGGAAGGACGGTCATGAGGCAGGGAAGGGGCTGGGAAGGTTAGGGGAGCATGGCCAGGAAAGGCGTCCTAGACGTGATAGCATCTCAGCGTGCCCTGGAGGG